ACAATTCAACATCAAATATGATTGCTTATCTAAGATCGTATAATATTGTAGATAATAAAAAACTAAAATCTGAAATACAACAGAATAGGCAAGCTATATTAACTTAAATGATTTGATCTGATACTCCATATAAGAGTGATAAACAAAGAGAATTAAATAAAGCAGTTGCCGAATAGATACTTCTTAATAATCAACTACTATCAGCACCAAGAAAAAAAGGATTCTGTCATATAATGGCAAAAGTTGATCTGAAATTTCACCCACTTTCTGATAGAGTAATAAGAAATGAAATAATATTTAGTTACTTAAAAAATGTTGATGCTCTTCGGCATGAGATTGAATTATCTTGCAAAACTGCTACAATAATATCTAATTTGTAAACTTCATGTAATAATTAAGGCTATATTGGAGTTACTTGTTACTAGGTAACTCCTAACTAGTCATTACATAGTGTATTATTATGTTGTGAAAAAATATCTTATCCATATACTGCAGAATCTATTTATCAATTTATTCAAACAAAGTGTTTTGAATATAATTTAGAAAATAAAATTGTATGTGCTATTACTGATAATGGTGCAAACATGGTAAAAGCTATTCAACGAATACTGTTATCTAGCTTCTATATACTACACATACTCTATAGTTAACAGTTAGTTATTCTTTAAAAAAAATTAACTCTAAAACTAAAAAAATAAGAAAGTTGATTAATTTTTTTGATTTATCTAAATAGCAAGAAAGATTAGAAAAGGTTCAGATAAGAGTAATGAAGAGAAATAGATTATCTTCATCTAATTTAATTAGTACTAAATCTTATTTTGAGGAAGAAGATGCTGGCAAAGTTAATAATAGTGTTGGTACAGATACAGAATGACTAAATATAAATGTTACTTCAAAATCTCTTTGTCTACTTAAAGATTGCCCAACTAGGTGGAACTCTACTTATAAGTCTTGGAAAAGGCTTTTAAAACTAAAAGATACAATCATATAGTTAGAGGCTAATTTAAAAATTCACGAAATTCAGATAATAAAAAAGATGGACAAAATCTTGCTCACTATTTATCTAATAAAGACAAATAGAAATTAATTGAAGAATTAGTTAAGTCTTCGAACCATTCGACCAAGCTACTGAAGTATTTAGTGCTAAAAAATACTCTACATTGTCAATCATATATTCTATTATTGAAGTTTTAAAATTTGAATTTGCAACAAATTCAAATTTAACTTCAATTGAGGATGATTTTAATGAAGAATATAGTAATTTTTAATTATTATTTAAATTTTTCTATTATAAGTTACAACCAAAATATAATAATAATATTTACTTTTTTTTTTTTTATAATTAGATAGCAATAGTAATAATGAAGAAACTCAAACACCAGAAACTTATAATATTTAATCAATAATTGCTTGCATTAAGCAAGCAATTTATAATTTTCTTTGGAAATATTGAGGTGAACCAAAATATACTGGTCTTTTAGCTACTTTATTAAACCCTTGGCTTAAAAGAATATGTCTTTGGTCTAGTGATTTATGAGAAGAAACAATAAGAGTATGCCATAAAGAACTCAATAACATTACCAATGCGATATCTATACAATCCACTTCTTTTACTAGTACTATTTCAACCAATTATTATTTTGTATCAATATTTGATAATAATAATGATAACAATCCATTAAATAATAAGAATAAACTGGATAAATATTTAGAAGTACTACTTGTATCACCATCAACTCGACCTTTAGAATAGTAAAAAAAAATGAGAAAAAGACTTTTCAAATTTAAGTAAATTAGCAAAGAAATACTTATCTATCCTAGTAACTTCGGTGCCAAGTGAACACTTATTCTCAGATGCAGAAAATCAAGTAATACCCAAACGAACATGTCTCAGTCCAGAAACTGTTTTTCAAATATTGTTTCTAAAAAGAAATAGCAAATTGATTAGTATTATATAAAAAAATTTTTAAATAATATAAAATTCTTTTCAGATTCTCATGCTGTTTATTAGTTAAATATATAAACCAATTGATTATAAAGTAGGATTACCTATATTATAAGATTTTTTTTATTTTAAATAAAAACAATTAAAGGATTTAGTTATAAAATACCATATAATAGTTTTCAGAATTAATAATCTTGTGTATGAAACATGTTATGCTTGAAGTTGGCATCTATTTAAGATTGAAGCTTTAATCATTTAAGGCTTACTAATTAAACTACCCCAAAATTAGATCTTATATTTTCGATTAGTGTTATTGATTTTATCTTCAGATGCTTGAAATTACAAATGCTACGTACAGTATTAAGAACAGATCTTGAAATTTTATTGGATGCAATCATCTGAAATTAGTTGAGTTAACCAAGTTACTCAGGTTAGCAGGGTTGTTATCCGGGTAAGAGTTATGTAAACAGGTGAGTAATCTGGAGTAGAATTTTATACTGGGTCTAATCACTAGTATAAATAGTTATAAGTTATATATTATAAAATGCAGCATAACATTAAATTTCTTTAGTATGAAGATATATCAATATCATCTTGTTCTGATATAGAAATTGAACCTCTTTTAACAAATATGTCTTCTTTGGTAGAATATAATCTTGAAGACTATGAAGGTGTATCTTATGATAATGCTTTTACCGATTTGAAATATTAACCAACTATTAAAGAGTCTAATGAAGCCTATCATGAATTTATAGAAATAGTTAATAAATATTAACTATCTAACTTGGCCAGTAATACTATAATAACTTACTTAAACAAATATTCAAGATAAGACATTTTACTATTACCTTTATTAACAAGAATAAGTAAAGAATTTTTAGACAATTCTACTATCTCTTATATGATGTTCAAAGAAATCCTAATTATAATGTTTTAAAACATTAAATTTATGTTTTACTATCAATTATTAATAAAGACTATAAAATCTTTATTAATAATTGATAGTATTAATCAGTTATTGGTCCTTCAATATGAAAGTAAAAATAAATTAATAAATAGTGTAGAATATTGTATATTTAAAGAACAATATAATCATAATTGGTAGAGATGAGAAGAGTTAGCTTTACTTCCTAGCTATTGATTATCCTCTATTCGGATACAACAACTCTTGACCATATGGGTAAATCTTTTGGTTATCTAATATTCTTGTCTTTTGACAACATTTTTAACAATTAGAGGAATAAACTAGAATCCAAAGCATTAATTAGATATCTTTCAATCTTAAAAGCCAAGAATTCTAAGACTAAAAATTCTAAAGGTTTCTGTAAATTATAAAGAGAAGTCTTTTAAAAGTGTATAGCGATTCTTCTTCAGCCCATAGTGCATGAGCCAGAGCTTTATTTTGTGGTTTGTAACAAAATAGTCACTTTTATTCTTTGAGTATTGACGATTTTGGCTAATTTGGCTAAAGCTGATAAAATAGCCAATATTTATTAACTATCTACTTCAAAATGGCCATGTCATTCATGTTTAGTAGCAAAGGATGATTTGAATAAAATAAATTTAACTAATGCCTTACCTAGAATACCAAATAATATGAAGCAAGTGATTAATAATAGTGAAGCATATTATAATTCAATTTATCCTGAAGCAAATGCATTTTGAGAAATAAGGTATAATATCAACAGTTTATTACTGAATTATATAATTGAAATAAATTAATATATAATTATAATATATTAATATATAATTATAATAATTGTAAAAACTTCAATATATACAAAGCTATCATTCCTAATCAAATACATATATTGGATCTTGGCCTTTTTAAGTATATGCTAAATTATACAAAAGAGCTTTTACTTAAGCAGTGTGAAAGCCAAGTAATTTAAAAATTTAAACAATAATTAATGTTGGTTTCTAGATTTCAAGCTCTTAAAATAATAAAGAATATATCTAATATAACATACTTAATAGCTGACAAACTGCGAAATATAATAAAAATAATAATTTTCATATTATATAATTTATATGATAATTATAAAAGACCAGGTGTTAACAATAAGCAGTTATGTTAAGTCTATTACAAGTTCTTCCAAATGTATATAGCCACTCAGAAAAAATCATTTACTAATAATTCTTGTAATTAACTTCAGATATATAACAAATATTTATCTTTACAAATGCTTTATTACAGTATTAATATATAATTTTATAGACATTCATTAAGAATTGGGTCCAAGAATTCATTGCAATATTTTCAAAATATTCCCTGAGTAGCCTTCAACTCCCAAAACTACATACTTGGTGCTATCATATAATACCTACAATTAAAAAATATAGGTTAGTAAATAGTATGATTATGGAAACCTATAAGACTCTTCATAAGTCTTATATCAAAAACCCCTACTGAATGTCGAATAAAAAAGAATATATGAAACAAATAATAAAGACAGTAAGCTAAAAAAAAAAATTTTTTACAAAATTTAATAATCTCGTTAACTATCGATCATAATTGATAGTTAACAAGATAATTAAATTTTTGTAAAAAATTTTTATCAATTTAGTCTTTTCTAGTATTAATCTGCACTACTTATCTTACCTACAATTATTTCACTATAAGCTTACTTAGCTAATATTATACTAAGTAACAATTTACTAAAAATATATACCTGCAACTAATAATATGCTAATCCTAACCCTATATGATGTGAGTTCCCTTATGTCAAGCAAAAACAGACTGCCCCGGATCTGTTACCAATGCTCTGACCCTCCTGATCTTACCTATGATATTATACAAGCACGTGTCTATTATTTCACACAACACTTAAAAAGCAAAAAAAAAGGATCTTCTTCATATCTGTATATTGAAAGAAAAAATTCTGTTATAAAGTTCACTTATCTTTGAAATTTATACATTTTTGACATAAAGTTTTGTGCAGAACATTCCCGAAACTTGCATTAGAGTCTTGTATTAGACTTTTGTAGACTCTTGAGTCTAAAAAAAAAAAAAAAAAAAAAAATATATATATATATATATACAGTATATGCGAAGATGAACAATCATGTACAAGAATCGGCTAACAATAAGCAAGAACCTACTAACGAAAAACCCACAAATAAACAAGATCAAGGGCTCACCAATGAACAAAATAAAGAATCCACCAGTGAACAACTCACAGATGAACAAGAACTTACCAGTGAATTTGAATTTAATGAGGATGAACTTTCTGACGATGGATATGAGTCTGATAATGATGAATTATGAGCGGAACTCGCCAATATGTTAATAAATCATGCCCGAACTCACTCTAGCATGCAATCGTTATATGTTCTTGAGGAAAAGGAGGGGTATCGCAGATTTACATTACCTCTTAGTTCGTACTATAGTTGGATAGTTGAGGAGGAAAAATCCAAAAGCATAAATTTTGTGAAAAAACATGGAACCTATAAGAATAAAAAAGGATCCTGGTCTGAATATTATCTCTGTTCATGCATGGGTAGTAAGCAAATAAGGAATGATCATGTAGAAGGAGGTGTTTAACAAAAAAAAAGACATATACAAAAAGAATTAAAGAAAGTTGGCTGCAACTGTGCATTGCGTATTCGATACCAACTATTTTTTTATAATAAACTTGTTATCGTTTATTATTAGTATAGGCATAATGAGCATATTCCTGGTAGTCGCAGTGACGTTTAATATCTAAAAAAATCAAAGGAAATTATTTCTGAAATTAGAAAGTTCGCCCAACAAGGGTTGTCTATTTCGGCAATTCAACAATTAATGAAAGCATTGGAAGAAACAACAGAAAAGTATATTTTATTTATTATTTATATTTTATATATGTTATGCGTCAAATTAATAATGCATCAGATTAAAATAATTATAATCCCGTTAATACTTACCCTAACCCTAACATAGAATTCACCCTAACCCTAATTAAAAAGATTTAATTTTAATCTGACGCAAATTTTAACTTGATATACAACATATATATATTTTAAAAAAATTTTTTTAAATAAAATCAAAATTTTTTTGATTAAAATCTTAGATATTTTGTTTCAAATGAAGTTGTTCCGAAGCGAGATGAGCTACTCACATATGAGGACATATATAATATAATTTACAAAGAAATTCATATGAAGTATCGATATAGTGGTCTCGAGATGAATAGCGTATGACAATGGGTCGAAATTCTAAAAAAGAATAGAGAAAAATGTAACAATTTGCATAATCCTATACTTTCCTGCTTTCAGATGTATGGAAAACAAAAATTTATGCTTGGATTCCATATGCTTTGGCAATTTAAGTTGTATGAAAAATATCATGAGGTATTTTGCGCAATTGTTCTTAGTTAACATTATGATTGATTTATATTAGGGTTTGGGTCAAGATTGTTTCTTGTATTTTTGTATAACTCATTTTTATACTTTCATTACTATTATTATTATTATTATTATTATTATTATTATTATTATTATTATTATTATAATATTTATTATTTTTATGCTTTAATTTAGATAATTCATATTGATTCTACGTATAATACGAATCATCATAAATACGCTCTTTTTACAATTTTAATCCAGCATCCCTATAGCAGTCAAGGTGTTCCATTAGCATGGTTATTAACAGAATCTCAAGACTCTGAAACAATCAAGCTATGGCTTCATGCTTTAAAAGAGGATAGTTGGATTGACCCGGTAAATGTAATCTTGGATAATGATGATACAGAAATTAGTGCAATCCGTGATATTTTTACTATGTCAAATATTTTTTTATATTGATGGCATGTCAAACACGCATGGCGTAGGTGAATTAATAAACAAATACCAGGAAAAGAGCACAATGATTTGTTTCAAGATCTAAATCAACTACTTAGTATTTCTGATAAAAGTGAGGTGAATAATGCTCTTATTAAATTTGAGCAAAAATGGCAACATACAGCTGCGATACAATATTTTAATGCTCAATATCGACAAAAAAAAGGTGAGTTATTTTCTATTATCTCTAAATATAGATATGATCATTTTTTTTTTTTGTCTTTTGTAATGCTCAAAATAAATTAATACGGCAAATAATTGCCACTATGTAAATGCCAGATGCTTATTCTTTTTTAATTGTAAAAAAATATTATTTATTAGAAAT